TTTTACAACCATCAGTTTTAAAAGTCATTCACACGCTGAGAATAATTTTAAAAGATGACATCTAAATAGGTAAGATAAAAGATTTAATGTAGCCTGAGGATAATCAGCTCAGCAGGCAGAAGTGGCTGCCTATCATGCACAACACCCCAGGTTTGATCCTCAGCACTACAAAAACCAAACAAAAAAACCCATGACTTACATGTACAATAGACATAACCTATTTCAACTTTTTCTTTAATGGCTCATCAATAATAATTGTATTGGGGTGTTGGTTATTATCTTTTTAGACATTTTTCTATACATTTCATATTTTCTACAACATGTGTATCTCATAATTATCATAAACTATTTTATAGAAAGATATAGTCAAATTGTACTTGTGTTACATCAAAATAATGTGAATCACACACCTACTCTATCATTCCTAACTCATAGATTTATGATATCAGTAGTTGCTTCCTAAGTCATGTCACTACACACAACTAGCAAGCATTTCCTACGTGAAGAAAGATTATTTCTTAAAAAATCATTTTTAGGTTTTTCAGATGACTTATAAACAATGACCTTTATAAATTCATATTTTAAAATAATTTGAACTACCTTACAGGTTGTTGATGCCATTTCACATCTTTAAGGCTAAAAGATGACAGACACGTGAAACACTGCTATGTACTGTCTGTGAAAAAGGAGGGCAGACTCTTAACAGTAGGAAAGGGAAGTGGTTTGCCTTAGTCACATGGCTTCCTAGAAGGCAAATATAAAGTACACCTTCTTTCAAGCTCTAATATCAAACCTTATTACTCAGTAACTGAGCAAACGTTCACCTACTGGTTTCAGCTGATTCAATGGGCAAACACGGCATGTCCGCATTTCAGTGAACTGTACAGTGATTCTGCCCTTCGGGGTGATGCGAGTCACTGTGCCCTCTCCAAATTCATCGTGCATGACCTGGCCCCCCAGGCGTAGGCGACCATCGATCCCACCAATCACAGCCAGGACTGCCATGAGGCCCCCCACTTCAGGGTTCTCAGAGTCAGGGAAGTAGTCCTCTAACAGAACCTAGCGCAGATGGCAGACAGCAAGGTTGACAAAGAAAGACCACAGGACTGCCTAATCTTAAAACTTTACAGTTAAACTGAATTTATTTACTTAGTTAGTTTAGTTTTGTTTTGTTTTGTTTAATTTTTTTTTTAGGTGGTAGGGTTGTACTATGCTGCCCAGGACAACCTAGACTCCAGGGCTTAAATGACCCTCCTACTTTAGCCTCCCAAGCAGCTGGGATTGCAGGCATGCACCATCACATCCAGCTTCTGAATTAATTTTTATATTAATTTCTTCAATAATTATTTCCATTAAAATATTCTTAAATATATATTAAACCAAAAATACATAGTGATTAAAAAGATAATTTAAAGCTTAATGTTTCACAAAAAAAACCTACACTCATTTAAAGACACTGAACCTACCCTTTCTGATGGCTTCCCCACACAGCTATGAGTGACAGAGTGGAGCTGGGAGTTGATGTACTTGTTGATAAGGCCATTCCACTGAGTCAGGGAATGCAGCGTGCGGAGCAGTGCCACCACCTCTTCAGCCAGTGTACTACTGTGAGTGGCAGTGAGAGAGGCCTGTGGGCGGGCTCTGCGTCTCCTCAGCGTGGATTCTGAGGAAGAAGCAGAGAAAAAAGCTGCACTGCACAGTGCTCACTGACAAGGGATCATAAGTAAGGGGATCACTGCCCACCTCTGAGTAATGGCACATCAGAAGAACACGTAGTGAGCAAACTGCCCAAGAAGCCAAACAGCTTTTCCACAAGGCACTTCATGTCCCTCGCCCTTTCTGTCTTGTCCCATGATGGAAGAACTGCTTGCAGTAAGTGCACAGCTAAGATCTGATCAAAGACAATTTAAAATGAGAAGCTTTATATAGAGTAGATGTAGGAGGGCCTGTGCATATAGATGAATGAAAGGGACTAAAATAAACAAAAAACCCAAAAATAAAATAAAATGAGAAGCTTTAAAGAAATTCATATCCACCAGATTAAGGGTTTAAAGATTATTATATCTCTTTACTTTTGTCCCAATAATGCAATTAATCATGTGAAACTTTGATATTCACTACTAATCAAATTGGCTAATTGTAAGGATTATCAGGGATTAAAAAATAAGCTACAGGATAAATGTGTGTATTTGTTTAAGTAAAAAGTAATTCTTTTTAACCTCATTCTTCTTAAAACAATTACACTACAATTCCAATGAGGCAGATAATAGCAGTTGTAGGACTTAATCACTTAACAGAAAGGGAAGTAAGCTGACTTAGCAACTTACAGACAATTGCAAATAATCAAGATCCTCAGCCATCTGTCTCCAGGAAATCTATTTTGCATTACTTCTGCTGTTTTATACACTCATTGCTGAATAAAAGCACCTGGTTTTGAGGTGGGGAGCATTGGTATGTGGGTGCCAGTTAGCAGAATGAGTTTTGCCCAGTAGCACATTACCTGCCTCTGCAGCGAGGCTGCAGTGAAGGGTGCATGTCCTTCCACAACCTTCATGAGCAGGGTGATCCACCTTGGAGAGCTGAGGGCACCACAAGCTTGTGGAGTGAGTGCGATGCTCCGCACAAAGCCTAGTGTGCACCAGCTCCGGTGCTGCTCCCTGCGTACCAGCCTGTCTGGAGAAGCTGCAGGAGGGAAGACAAATGTGCTTGCACCCAATCTCTAGAAATAAAATCATGACCACAACCCTTACATTTAATTAATCTACTATTTTATTTTGACAATAAAGTGCAGTTCAAATTCACTCATATGCACTCTCACATACATTTACCCTCATTCCCATGCACGCACAAATAACTCACACATGTACCCACATAATATCTCAGACATACTCATAAAGACTTATTCACACCATTACTCATGAACATTCACTTATACTTGAATGTACATACTCATGTGCACAAACTCATTTTCCCACTCGTTAACTTACATCATACATCAGTCTCCTCCCACTTAGTGACACTCTAAATGCTGACCTTTACTGTCACGTACTTTCACTAGTGCACTCACACAGATCATACATGCTCACTGACACACACATGCACACAAACACCTTTACTCACAGTCTATCACATACACTCCTGCTCATGCTTCTCACCAATACACACATTCCCACACATTCATGTTCCATCATACATGCTCAATGCTCATACTCAGTCTTGCATTCACACTCACTAACACTCATATGCACTCACAACCACTACTGTACATGCAAATGTACTTCACACATGCTCTCATTCCAACTATTCTCACACACATATATTCAACCAACAACATGCTCATATTCACACTTCACTACTGTAAGTCACTTGCCTCATCAATATGCTCTCATGGACATATGCATCCACTCACTCACATATATGCACTCACACATACACCCACACAACCACATTGACACACTCAGAGACACACCTTCGTACTTCCAACACAAACTCTCACCCGACTCACCCACCAATCACTAACACATTCTCTCATACTCATACCAACATACTGACATTTCAGCACATATCACACTGACACAAGATGTTCTCAATCATGTATGTGCTCTGAAACACACTTACACATACACACACATGATCACATTCAGTCATATATACCCACAAGCACTCACACACACACATTCTCAGACCACAAACACATATGCACCCCACCTCCTCAACTCGTATTTTTCATACATACTCATTCAATGGATTAAACTATATACCCTGTCAAAAATCACTCAGAACCTCAGAGTATGATTTTATTTGGAAATAAGGTTCTACAGATGCTACTGAGGACACAGATAACACTGTTCTGGACCAGGGTGATCCCAAAATCCAATAAAAAGTTTTCATGAGAAAAGGGCTTAAAGAGACACAGAGCAGGAGGGGGGCTATATGAACACAGAGACTTCACTGGAGTAATACAGCCATAAGGAAAGAAAGCCCAGAGTCACCAGAAGCCAGCTAAGGAGAGAGAGGATTCCCCTGTGTAAGGAACACAGACCTGCTGACAACTTAATTTGAGATTTCTAGTCTCCATAACTATGAGAGAATAAATTTATTATTGTAAGTCAATGGCATAGGTTGAGAAGTACTCCTCCCACCCCCATTCATATGTTGAAGCAATAATCGTAAGTATCTCAGAAAGTGACCTTGTTTGATGTAATTAGCGTGGATAAGGTCAACTGGTGTCAATATGGCTCACTCCTGTAATCCTAGCTACTTGGGAGGCAGAAATTGGGAGGATCATGGTTCAAGAATAGCCCAGGCAAGAGTTATTGAGATTCCATCTCAATCAATAACAAGCAGATTGTGGTGGGGCCCAGCTGCCATTACAGCTATGAGAGAAGCATAAACAGCTGTAATGCCCAGGCCTGCTGGGCATAAAAGTGAAACCCTATTCAAAAAATAACTAAAAAAAAAAAAAAAAGTACTGGTGGCATGGCTCAAAAGTGGTAGAGTGCCTGCCTACCAAGTGCAAGACCTGAAGTTCAAACCCCACTGTCAAAAAGAAGAAGAGAAAAAAAAAGTAAATTTAGAACACAGACACCTATGAACATGAAGGCAGATATTAGCATGATGCATCTACAAACCAAGGAATGCCAAAGATCACCAGCTAATCACCCAACACTGGGGAAGAGTCCTGGAAAAGGTTCACCACCTCCCACGGCCCTCAGAAAGAACCAGTCCTGCCAAGATTTTCTGTTATTTATGCCACTCAGTTTATAGTGCTTTGTTACAGCAGCCATAGGAACCTAATACACATACTCACACTCATGTGTACTTACAACCTTACATCCACTTTTGCTCACATTAACACA